AGTAGAAATGCACCAACAGGGCAACTGTATCCATGTTTACCCAGAAGCCCCATGTTAAACGGTATTTACTTCCATGTAAGTGTGCAGGATTGCAGTCAGATGTGTCTTGACTGTAAGCTGTTCCAAATGTTGACCCAGGCAACCTGGGAAGAACCTCATCTGATAAAAAAATCTGTCACACTACCAAAGCGCTAGAAATCATTTCCTGAAGAGTACAAAGCCATCCCAAGCTAACATACCTCAGTTCAAGTCAGTGCTGGAGAAAAGTTGATCTAGATGTTTTTCCCCCAAAACACACATACACACACTACTATTTTCTAGCCACTTCTGCTGTGTCATCTGAGGATGTTAAACAAAAGCTGCTGATAGAGTTGATACCAACAGTTCATGGAGGTTGACAAATGAGAAATTTCTACCCTTGGAATTCTTCCAATCCTTGGACAGACCAAAGGACACCTCTTAAACATTCCTTAGCATTATTATGAACCAATCTTTTAAAAAGTGTAAAGCAAGAATTCAACAAAACACTAGTGAGTACAAAACATGCTTTAAAAACAACCACATGTGGCCCTGGACTGGGAAAAGGAACAAAAAATAGGAGAAGTGCTGCCAACTCACTAGCTTTAGACTAGTAAAACCCAATTTACAATTGTTAAGTCCCATTTACACGCGCAAATTATACAGAGTGCTCAACCTAGTTCCAAGGTCTGTAAGCTCTGTAAACATGCACTTACACAAACATGATTTCCCCTGATTTATGTAAATCACTTTAAAAATCTCTGACAAGAGCATCCATCTTTCTAATTTTATACTTTTTCCTGTATTCTTCCACTGCTAATGTTTATTTACTGGAGGCTTGCACAAGGTTCAGTGTCATTAAAAATGCTAAAAAGATGTTCATTATGAATAAATCTTTTATGCCAAAGGCGTAGCAAATGTAATTATGTGAAGTGGGGTGGGGGGAAGAACCAATTGTATTGGACTCCTGATGTTCTAATCAAGTGAATGAGAATAAAGGAGAGCTTGTAAGCCTAGTAATGGCAGCCCTGCTGTGGCAGAAATTTTTGCTGATTTTCTACATTTAAATAGAAGGTTGAACTGGAAAGGATGACATGAGATAAATAAGTCAATGACAGTCCAATAGTCTTAGTTATTTAATCATCCTGAATCTTTGTGGAAGCAAGTAAACTCAAAGGTCAAGCTTCTCTTTCAAATTTGCCTAAAGATAGGAAAGCTTAGTCATTTGAACTATAGGTAAAGGGCAGAAAAGGCATTCCTTCCCATGTGTGTTAGCAATAGGGGTTTTGTACTATTCGGCAGCAAACTTAACAGTTCTGCATACTTGCATAAAAGTAGTGGATTTCTGTCTACTTTTAAACATTTTTTTTCAAAATTTAGACCATATTTATTACTACTGTACTGCCACTACAAAGTTTCCATCTTAGACAGTAATTATCATACTGAAAGTCAAATAAGGCATATAATTCTCTTACCATACTCTCATTTTTTCTAGGCACCTAATGCAGTAATTTGCACCTTGATCCTCAACATATTTGGAAGTATGCCACACTAACAGCAGCAGGGCTTACTTTCAAGTAACATGATTGAGATAAGAGACTTGCTTTTCACTTTGATCTTGTACATACAGGGTACAAATAATTCTTGAACTAATGCAATTCTATAGAAGGATGCAAGGTATAACAAGGCTCTTAAGTAATGCAGATGGGGAGGTCTAGAGTTTGAAAGAGAAGTCAAAGATGAAACTACCCAGTGTAAAAGGGCAGTGAAGAGTACCTTCTTTTTTCAGCCATATCCCCCACCCCCCATGCCTTTCCATTTGCCACCAAAACAAAGGAGATATTCCAAGCTATCCACAGCTCTCCATCTGGAATCACATGCAATTCCTGTTGAAGGAGTCAGTAGCCATCCTCTTAAAACAGCTATAAATATTAGTGATCCTTCATGATTCCATTTTCTTTTTTGTTAACTAGTTTATAAATAGCAAAGCTTAATTAAAACAAATCCAGGAAATGGCTCCTCATTCACTCTAAAACAAGTTACCCTTATAAGAAATTAACTCATTTTAAAAGCACACACACACAAGAAAACCCCAACATCTATAGATCATGAAAATCTTATTTATATTCAACCTTCGCAGAAAAAACCACTCATACTTTAAAGTAATCATGTTATACACAAAACTTGGGGGAAATTGTTCAGCTATGCCCTTTATTTCCTTTAAAACAACATGGATGAACTTCAGGAAAGATCTTCTTGGTTATTCAATTTAAAATCAATTCTTTCCTACAGGGTATAGGCAATGTTACAGTTTTGCTTCTCATAGAATTTCCAGAGACACACATACCAAAATAAAGACTTGTTTCTCAGCAAGAATAGTCAGCTGCCATTAAAGCCACACCTTTAAAAGTTCTTACCACACAGCAACCAAACAAGTACAAACAAGTGGTGCTTTTTTTCCCAGTCAAAAAGGCAGTACAGTTAAATGTTGGGATCATTTGGTATTTCAACATTGGATCTTTTAAAAATGTATAAATATGCAACATCGTGTTTTTGAGAAGCTCTAAATACTAAGGGTTTTTTGTTTTTGTTTTTTAAGCAAGTGTAGTCTAACAACCTTTCACAGGAATATAAATATTTAACATTTAAACCTGACAACACAGCACTAAAAGATAAAATGCCTTCCTGCTAAGAGCAATAGTGCCTCAGAACTGGAAGGCAGCTGTTGTTCCCCAGCCTTCTCTTTTGTTGCACCTAATCTCATGTCAAGTCATTCAACCAGCTCCAAAGCGATGAAGACATAATTGAATCAACCTTATACAAAATAATAATAATAATCAGATGTACTGTTCTTACTAGTGATATGCACACATTAATTATTCCAAATAAGCCAATGTTATTCTCCCTTTCAAAAAAGCAAAACAAAAACACCACCACAAGCACAAACAACCTCAAGGAAACTGAAATCAAGAACTCTTGGCCTTTGCAGAAGAGAATATAATTAGATAGGTCAGATCAATACTCTACTGTACTATCTTCTCAACTACAGCTGTTATGCATGATCATAACTTGAAATAAGGACTCGGGGAATGTAATCATTTCAAGAAAGCCATGGGAATGCTCTCCCTCACATCTCTTCTTCCCCCAGGAGATTAATAAATAAATAAATAAATAAATAAGCATACATTTCAGAATTCTCTAGAGTGAAGGGAGTTCTTCATATTAAGAACAAGTAACTGATGACCCATACAAGCTGGCATTCCAGTTGGAGATGTTAAATACTGACTCATCAATTCACATAAAAGTAATGTGTATGGGGGGGAGGGAAGAATCAAACTCCACCCACTTTCCCTCCCCCACCTTCAAAGAAAGCAGTTTAACCTGCTTATTTCTGCCAGAGATTTCATGCTGTCCAAGAAAATATTTCATTATGACTACAATCACTGGATGTTTTAAAAAGGAATTTTCTGTCCCAAATCTTACAGAAGCACCCCCTGAAGTGTAATAAAAGATGGCGAGAAAACATTTGCAAGCCATTGTTATAAGCACTGTGCTCAGATACCTTTGCACACAAAAACAGCCCCTAATCGCCGACAGAATATAAGCAGTGGTCAGCAAGTCAATGCCTGCTATTCAGTTTGTAGTTAGGCATTTTATTCCTCTGCCTTCCTGATCATATCAGGGCAAGCTTTTCAAGGCCTAATACACTGTAAAGAATTATATGAAGTGTCCCTCACCCCTCGCATATTTGAAACTGCGTTATTTCCTTCTGTTCCTTCACATACAGAAACTTCCCTTTTCACATTCTTCTGTAAATGATTTCACTTCATCTACAGACTTAAGTTCCTATTTCTGCTTTTCACTGCATACTAGATTCTTTCTTCCGTTCACCCCCCCCCTTTCTATGAATCAGGAAAAGTGAATATTTTAAAGCTTTCAAGGTCATTCTACAAAGGACAGTTTCACACACACACACACACAAACAGGCTTTCTTTTAAAAAATAGTCCTCCTGAACAACAAAACTTAAGTTATTTTGACATTCAGCAAGATGCCCAGTACAGAAATTTTGCTGCCCATTAGTTCAAAAACTCTTGCACTTCAATTCAGATACTCACAAGGGGATTCACACATAGAACATGGGGGGGGGGGAGTGGAGCGGGAGCTTATGGGATTGCATATCGAAAGAAGGCTCCTTCGACGATAGGATTTCTGCAACTCACACAAAACGAAACACACCCTAAATGAAGCCAATTAGCCAAGAATTAATACCTTCCCATATATAGGTAAGAGATAAGCATACGGAAGTGAAACGGTATTGTACCCTCTTGATAAATTTTGTATTCTTCTCACTACAGCCAAGTCTATTGTTGTAAGAGCCAAGTAGGTAGTTAATTTTAAAGGAGCTCTTTTCCCCCACCCACTTTCAAAATAATCTCTAGTGTCTTTAACACACACAGACTCGGGAGCAGATTAAATTCTGCATAAGAAGCATTCAAAAATGAAACTGACAAAACGGATCAATAAACTTTTCATTAGCAAATCTGACCCCCCTCTCCCCAACCTTGAGCCAAACACATTACAAACCTTGCTTCCAGGAACATCCCTGACTCACAAAGAGATCCTCTCTTTCTCCCTCCTCCTCCTCCTCCTGCCCCCTCCCTCCCTCCCTCCCTCGGCTTTAAGATCGACATATTGAGTATCGAAAACAAATACGTCTATCTCATGGAAGTTTCACAAACATCGACTTGGAGCTGCGGGACGCGGGGGTGGGGGGCACAGAGGCTGCGGGCAGAATAGCCGAGGGAGAAATCTCATACACGAGCTAGAAGTTTAGGGAAAGCTAATCTCCGTTTTCCTCACCTATCTCCTTTCCTTCCCTCCCCCTGGGATAGGGGGGAGCGCTTGGAAAGAAAGCTGGGAAACTGTAGCATAACAAGGAGAACTTTAAAAGAGGTGGGTATTTTGGAAAGGGTTCCTTTACCTGCTGATCCTGCTATGCCTAGTGGCGGAGGTTGGCGGCGGAGGAAGAAATTAAAACTGACACAACAGGAGTCGCTGCGTTTGAATGAGAAAGAGAGGGAGGAGGGATCCTTGAGGGAGGGGGGGAGGAGGAGGAGGAGGAGGAAGGAGGGCTATTGGGAGTTTTTGAGGCTGGCTGCACGAACTCCTCACACGCAGACACATACACACACCTGATCTTGTTGGCTTTTCTCTTCCTGACACGGGAGGGGGGGCAGCGTGGGGGCGGGCTTGGAAGCGAGGGGAAGCGTTTCCCACTACGATTCAAGAAAGACGACTGCAGGATGCTATCATAAGGACAAAGACAGAAGGCAATCTTGAAAAAGAGGAAGGCAAGAACTGGAAGAAGTGGATGCCCCCCTCTCCACGTACGCGCCCACAAATACGCACACGTCCATTTAATTCAATGGAGAGGAATTATGGCTTGATTCTAAGCATCGGTATCCCGCCTTTTAAACGCGAAAGTTCCCCTCCCCCCAGGCGGCTTACAAAAATAATCACACGATAACATGTGCACGTCAACACACTCATACTAAAAGACAAATAGAGGCTCTCCTTTCCCCCATCGCATGCCTCGTTCATGAATCCCCCCCCCCCGCCACCACAAGGATCCATCTCCCCACAAGCCCTACATAATCTCCAGGTGGGATGGTGGCGAGCCTGCCCCCCCTCTGTGAAGCGCCCAGTGCGTGATTGCCTTCTCGCCCACGGAACCCCACCCCATCTTGTTTTAGGCTGCAGGCGCCTCGGAGGCAGGGACCTATCGAGAGTATTATCTTGTGTTATTTGGGCTATCTTGGCTCTAGATTCGTATCTAACTGTTGTTCTACTGAACAGGAACACCCCTATGCAGTTCTAGCATGTGGGAAGGGGGGGTTCAAACAACAGATTAATCAACAGATTAATCTTGGGCATTAGCCAGAGGACCCCACTGAATTCACCAACATACTCAGGATTGGAAGCTGAGCGGGATCGCCACGGTTCCAGAAACTGGCCCTCCCTTTCGAAGAACTTTATTCCATCCCCCACCCCGAAAAAGGATTATACATTTTTAACGCAAAGTTATCAATTGAAAACGACACACACCCACATACGGGCGCCTAAGGTTCTTCAAGGCTGCCATCCTAAGCCCCTTTGCCATGTGTGGCTTACTTTTGAGAAGGCACCTAAAAGATCTGAGTTATGTAAAAAGGGCATGTTGTACCCGTGTAGCTACACCTGGGGGCGAGGGCGGGGGTCAGGAGGCGGATCGGTGCCCGCTTCCCCAAGGGGCAATCGCCATCCCTTTGAAGGGGGGCTCGCTCCCCCTCAGGGTGGAGCACGGGCACACCCGATCCTACGTACCCTCCACGCACGCCTCCTCACGAGCGTGTGTAGCTCATCCGAGCTGCGCGCGCGCGCGTGTGTGGGGTGTGTGTGCGCGCGCGCGCGCGCGGGGGGGGGGCGGGGGAGACAACAACTTGCCGTGTCGAGGCGAGTAAGGGACTGGGGTGGCGGAGGAAGCGCGAGATTTCCGCGCCTAGATAGGCTCGGTCGGCCCCGCTGGCGCCCCGCAGCGTCAGGACGGTTCCCGCCCCGCGAAGCTCCCGTCCTGGGCTGTCCTCTGATGCCCCCAGCCCGTCCTCCCTGCCGTGCCCCGCTGGACGCCGCCCCCGCCTGCTCGCGGGGCTCCCGCGGCAGCCGGGAAGGCGGGAAGCAGCGAGGCCTGGCCTGGCCGGCTGGCAGAGCAAAACACACCGCGACCTGCCCCTCCACATGGGGGTGGGGGGTCCGCGGAGGCCATTTCAGGCGGGCCGGGGGCGTGCATGGAAATGGTGGCGAGGGAGAGGCCGGTGTACCGGTTCTCGAGGCTTGCAGAAGCGGGAACTCGACGCTTGTTTTCACGGCTGCCGTTGGAGAAAACAGCTATTCAGGGGAACTGTCCTCAAGCGTTTAAGTTGTCCTAAAATGAATCGTCCTTCCACCTCCGGCTGCACTGATAAGTTCTTCCTACACGCACCCCACAGCCTTCCAGGCATACAAAGTAGTGATGAGGGAACAGGGAAGTGAGAACGTGAAAGAGGCTTTCTATATGAACAAGGGCTGAGCGTGAGGAGATCAGCGGGCCTGATGGACCAGTCTTCCTTTATGTGTTGTGATTTTACTTTTCCCTACCCAGCCGTTTTGAGGAAGTACAAAGAACCGAACTGGATCAAACGCTGGTACATGGAGTCTGCCATTCCGTTCACATGGTGGCCAAAGTGCTGCCCTCAGGAATGCAGCTGCACCCTCCAGCCCATGTTCCCCAGCAACTGGTATGCTGCCTCTGATACTGGAGCTAGTGTATAGCCACCATTTTGATCGATTTTTCTTCTACAGGGCACATGGAAGTGTAAATGGGACTAAATCCGTTGGGCTTCACTGCTAAACTTGCGAGGCAGGTTAAGATGGACAGTTGACTGGACAAAGGTCACTTGGCCAGCTGAAAGCAGATTTGACCTTGAACATGCTGTCTACTAGTCAAGCTCTCTGACAAGCAATAAATGTAGTAATTATTTTTTTAAAGGGTGAAATGTTAGCAGTGTGTCAAAAAGACTTACAACAACCTTGTATGGTAGGCCAGCGTAACTGTTTCTATATAGTACATGAGCGCCTGAAACTGAGTGACTGGGGCTTATTTTAAAGGGTGCTTCAAGTGAAAATTGAACTTGGGATATTCAAGTCAACACACTTGCACACATTGTGTATTCAAGTGTTTTATATTTGTTACATGTTCATTTCACCCTTCTAAGAAGTTCAGCGTGGAATAAGTGGTTCTTCACCATCTGTATTATTCTTACAACTGCCCTATGACAGAGATTAGTAACACCAGCTGCAATCATACATGCATTTTTCTGAGAGCTGACATCAGTGGGAGTTTCTTTTTCGTAGAAATTTATAGGATAGCTCTGTAAGTTTAATAATTAAAAAGGGATTTGAGCCCTGTACTCCTCAGTCCTCATACCAACACTTGTTCACAATTATATATGCTTCATGATGTTGAGAGGGAGAAGTGATTTAGATTGGGGAAATACCTAGGCAATACCCACATAGAGAGAAGGGGTAGAGGAAGAAAAAGAGAGAAGTCATACAATCGATGCCAGGAAATTAACTAGAACTGAGAGGGATACACCAGCCCGAAGTAGATTGGAGATTAGCAGGAACCAGAGAAGGGACACAGAGAGCTATCTATGCATAATAGAGAGGCTACCCTAGGATTGGTGGAAGAAGACAGGAGGGTAAATTAAATGGGAACCTGATGAGGTAGGAAGGGTGTGGTGGGCTTTGCTATTTTCTAGGCAGTGAAAGACAGAAAAGAAAGAGGGAAAGAAGAAAGAGATGGGAACATTAGTAGAAACTGTGATGGTATGGGTGAAGTGTCATTTATTTTGTGTTCAGATAATTTGGAGAGAGTGTAGATCACTTAAAAGTCAACCAGTGTTTAATGTTTGTCAATAATTGTGGTTTGCATGGGGCAAGAACTGCTGAACTCCAGTGGATGCAAGAAAGGGACTCCACATCTCTAGGAATCAAAATAATAGCTCTCTGAATGTTGCTTTGAAACTGGTTCTATTAACAACATTTGAGTTGTTTCTTTCTACTCCCAAGTGCATTTTTACAAAATGTTTAAAGGCACTTTTCCGTACAAGTTAAGACCAGAAAAAAGCCTACAATTTGCAGCATGTATGTTAGGAGTTGTAGGCCCTTTTCCGTCTAAACTTGCGTAAGTGTGTACCCTGAGTCACTTGAAATAATGAAGACACTACAACTATTTTTGTTGTTTCTCTTTCCTGTCATTCTTGCTCATAATTGAGGTACATATAGACACAAACTACTACAGAATTTTGTAAATCTGAAACAGGAATTGCTTTGTTTTGATGTATCATTCTAGAAGTAGTAGAGTTTACTGGAATTGAACAAATAGCAGGTGCACATTTCCGGACAGCTATACTTTATAGTGCTTTGGGGCCAGCACTACAACTGTGTCAAACTTGTAAGGTTCCAATAATAAAAACACTACTTCAACTTACAGTGTATTAATAATAATTTAAACTACACTTATGGGGCAGATAATAAAGGTGTCTACCAATGCAAGTGTAAAGCACTTGCACTTTGAACAGGCAAGCCAGTAGAGTATTTGTGCTGAGCCTTTCACTATCCTCTTCTCCAGCCAGGAATAGGCAACTTAAAGTATTGGAAGCCAGCTGGAAGAAAACCTCTTACAGAGACAGACTGCATAGGTAACAGGTGAAAAACCTGTAATTCCTTAGCTCTTTCTCTGCTAGTTTTACTGGTGCTGCTGATCTGTGATTAGGTATAGTTTGAATCTTAGGGTGTCATCCTATGTATATTTAAATAGAAAAAGTCCCACAATTCCCAGCATTATAACTAGTCAATCCCGACTGACTAGTAGTGCTATAAGGACTTCTTTTCTCACTGCAGAATTGAGCTGTTAGGCTTATACCAGTAAGCAAATCTGAAAGGGCAGGGTACACAGTCTGCCACCCTACAAGGGTGCCCTGATCCCAGCACTGCCTCTGAAAACAACACTGCCTATGCTTTCAATTCCTTTCTTGGGGGATCCTCATACTGATTATTCTTCTCCTGCCACAAGGAAACAGCAAGCTGTTTAGACTCCTCTGGGAATTTGATAAACTGCTGTGGGCACCAGCACAAGATGCCTCTGCAGTGGCTTCCCACTTTGGCATCTACTATTCACTTCTATGGATGAAAGAATGTATTTGATTCAGGAAAAAGTCTCTTAATGAACACTTCTGTAATTTGACTATTTGTTGGTGGTACAACACAGGTAATACTTTTTAAAAAATACATTTTAGTAATGTCCAGTAGTTGCTTCTTTAGGGGAGGAGGTTATTGCACACATACCTTTTGTACTTTAATATTTTGTGATATGCATGTGCTTTTAAATTATTTATCTGCTTCTTAGAAATGAACACAGGAAAGGGGAAATGGATTATCTGTGTACTTTTGACAGCTGCAAGTTTAATACTACAAAATTCAAAGGATAAA